CACAGCTCGGTGTCGTCAGCAACTTGCTGAGTGTGCATTTGTTCCACTGTCCGTGTTGCTGACAAAGATGTTAATCTGAGTAAAAAGCGGCCCATGTTCTGTTATTTTTTTCATTTGTAAGTAGATAGCTTTTAAAATATTCTTCCCAAGTGTATTTCTGAGGAAACATTGTTGACTGACAGATATATGCTGCCTTACTATGCAAGTGGGCTCAGAAGCATTGTTTTGGTCCCTGAATAGGTGTATGCTATTCAGTGATGTTACAAGAAATATGTTGAAATAGAATACATCAGTCATAAGTAGAAGAAATAAGCTTTTCTGAAAGCAGAAGAGTCTGTGCTTCTGACACAGGGAAACTGCTGAGAGTGGCTTTCGGCATCCTGATGAACCATCCTTCTCAGCTTGAACTAGTTGGTGTTGTAGCTGAGAGATTATAGAGTTGTGACTCGTCCAGCTTGGGGTGTTGACATAAACCAATATTACTCACGTCAAGTTTGGGTTTGGGGTGTTACACTTCAGGCATTCTATAAGCTTTTTTCTGCATCAGTGCTAAAATCTGCTGTTTGGTCTGATGCACTAAATAGGATTGTTGCAAATATCTACGTTTTGGATGTAAACCCCATACAGCTCAGGAAACGTGCTTAAAAATGTGCCGGTTATAATGCTTAAATGTGGATTTAAAATGTATTCTGTTAGAAAATTTAAGTATATTAATATATAGTCAGCAGAAGGAATAAAGAAAACACACAATAATACTGAGTTGCCTGAATGGTAGTATTTATCTGGGGTTTTTTTTGGTCAAAGTTTTAAAATTTTACTTTTAAAATGTTTGAGGGATGAGAAAATTATTGTATGTGGAATCAGTGATGATGACAAACCTTGCTGGTATTTATGGGAAAGCATGAAGGGTGTATGATATCAAAGGGCAAGGTTTTTTTTAATAATGGATGTTCATCAATGTTTAGGTCAGTGGAGGTCAACTGCCAGATAATAAAGTAATTGCCAGTGAGCTTAACACCTTGCCGGAGCTGAAGAAGTATATGAAGAAGGTTATGCCTTTTGTGGCCATGGTTAAGGTGAGTGTCAGAGGGACAGTTCTTGCATAGAAAAAGCTTGTGTGAATGGAACGTGTCAGACAAAGGCAACGATAACCTGTAACTGTGCATGGTATTGTTGTTTCCTTCGTTCCTGGTTCTCCTACTAACTTCTGACTTCAGTCTCCATCTGCTGCTTGCTTATTTGGCGTCTTCATGGTTTTGTTCACAAACTTATTTGACGTATCTGGAAGAAAGATAAAATAAAAACGTCTCTATGTGAGTTAGCCCAGGTGAACAAAATGGTCTAGTTGAGGCTTGGTAGTTGGTGTATTCTGCAGGTCATGCAATCTGTGCTTCAGATACACATGGATTCCTCTACACTTGAAATGCACCATATTTGACTCTTCCAGTTTTTCATGCTGAAATGAGAATAAAAGGTTGGTCTGGATACACAAAAATGCTTAACATTTGAAAGTTAAGAATAAGGCTAGAGATAATTGCCCTACATTAAGAGAGGAGAAAAGGGAGACTGTTCTGAGCCCTGAATGGAAATATTAATTTTATGTGTCATTCTTATGTTTTTATCACTAATATTCTGATATTTCATTATGATTTTCCCAGAGTCATGCAAGCTGATGAATATATTGGCTTGCGGTTTTTTTTTTTAAAGAAACTTTTTTGTGCTTGCTGTTGCAGCTAAAAATTCAATACAACAACTTGGAAGGTTCAAGAAGCAAAGAATAAGCAAAATTTTAAATAAAACTAATAAAGGGGGGGCCCAGGTGATTTAAAACCTTTTTGACTTCTACTCATGATCTGTAGAAGTGGAGAGGGATTAATGATGGAAAAAATCTTAATGATTGTAACAATACTACTTTTTCTCCTTAAGCTTTAGCTGATTTTTAAAATGCATGTTATTTCTTCTATTTGTAAGCTTTGTCATATTTTATGAATGGAGGTGCTCTTTTGCCCTCTTTCTAGGGTTATTCTAATTATTCCTATTCCTGGTAGCTCTGAAGCCTTCAGAGGAGCAGCTGTGAAGCTTCCTGTATAAGGCTGTGAGGAGATGTAGTGATGTGTTGGATTGACTGATCCAGCTGGAAAAGGTCAGACAGGATGTTAGGTCTGAAACATCCCTGTTTTCTGACATCCTTACCCTGGCAGTGGTGATCCTGGTGTGCACAGGGAATGGGTTGGCATGCTGAGTCTTACCCAATAATTGAGCCTGTCACTTCTAAAGAGCAGAAAGCGATTTCTCATAACTACGTAGAAAGGTCTGAGCTCAGACTCCCTAGATCAGTATGTTTTTCTCTCTAACCAATTATTCAGCAATTCCAGTGTACAAGGAGCATTTCTACTTGTGCTTTCTATTCATCAAAGGAGAGCTTAAATGTAGAATAAACTTTGTGATTTACAAAGGGAAGCAATTCAGTGTTAATGTAGGGAATCTTTCACATTAAACTGATGAGGAAACCAGGAAACCACAGCCATGCTGAGCCTGTCAAAGCAGAGCTTCAAAGGAGACAGCTGGCTCAGCATATGAAAGCAAGAAAGGGATAGATTAAATTCCAAAGAGGAGGTTCTGTTTTAGTACCAAAAAAAAAAAACCCCACATGGTTTTTGTATTGCCTTTCATACTTTGTCCCTTGTGATGGTTGCTGTTGGCTTTCTGGACTAATTAAGTTACTTTTATGTTAACATATAAAGTAGTTGTTATTTCCCTGCAGAGAACTTGTTTTACGAGTGCTGAACATGTCCAGTTGTTGTATGCTTGTCCTTTATTTTAAACTAGGTCATAAGACTGAATTTCCTGCTGTGAAATACCACTGAAATGCTGACTTATTTTGTGAATTCTCAACCTGCACATTAAGTAGGGATTATAAATAACTGTGAATGTCAAACACCTTTTCAATTCTATATTAAAAATGTATTCTAATTGCTCTTACTCCTCCCATCAGTGTCACTAACTCCCTGTAGAAGAAACCCTGTTACAAGAAAATTACTGCTCCTATGTTAGCATGTTGTGCCAGCAGAGAGCTCTCGTATTTAAAAGCCTATTCTTTTCATGACTAATGTACATAGTTTGCCATTTTGAAGCATCATTTTACTTGCAGTGTTCGGAGGGTTTTAATCTCTTTTTTTTTTTTTTTTTTTTTTTTCTTCTCTAACAGGAAAATCTGGAGAAGAATGGTTCACGTGTTCTTGATCTGGAACTGGAATTTGATGAACGTGCAGTGCTCATGGAGAATATTGTCTATTTGACAAATTCCCTGGAGGTTGGTAGATACTTGGCATATCCATTACTTGGTTTTTCTTGGGATAGCTGGAGGACCAGCCTTTCCTAAGGCTCCAAGCCTGTTTACATTAACTTCTGGGCGTATGTTGCTCGAGTAGTGGTTTGTTAGCAACTCTCTGTATTTTGATCGTGCTGTTTAAATTTGTCAAATATAGTGTATAAACCTGTGAAATACAGGCATGAGACAGCGGTAGGTGTGTAGTAAACAAACACGTTCCCACAAACCAGGTGGGTTTTGCTGCAGTACTGGTTGTGTCTGTGATAGTAAAGTCCAGGGACTTTTCTGAAGAGACGTTTTTCTCCGAGCCAACCAGTATTTTACATTTTTTCAGGTGAAAAAATGAGGAGATGTTTCAAGGTATTGCTAGAAAGAATGATCAGAGTCCTTAGCCTTGTGCCCTTGGACTCTTACAATGGCCCATTAAGTGTAGCAGATTACCCTGCCTGCTTCAAGGAGCAGGGCAGGACTTTTAAAGTATGGTATGTGGAAAAGAGATGCCAGTCTAGCAGCAGTTGTGCTGCTTAATATGATAACCAGAATGTAGTTCAATAGGCAATATGTTAATGAGGGGACAGCTCAGGCAGGTCTGTGGGGAAGACAAAGATATAAAAAAACCCCAACACACAAACCAGCCAACCAACAGCTCCCCCAACAAAAACCCCAAACACACAACAAACCCAAACTGAAACCCCCACCTCTTTCAAGAATTAGAAAATACATATATATTGCAAAACTTGATTTTGTAACCTGTACAATATAAAATAAATGTGCTTTTATTGGACTTGTCCCATATCAGAGCAAAGTCAAGAGCAAGCAACAACTTGTATTTTAAAATACATCTGTACATCTGCAAAGCCCACTGAACTGGAGGAGGGAGCAGTTAAACAGTGGGTCTGTCAAACAGTGAGGGTCTCGTGCGGGAGAATCTAGAGAGACTTGAGAACTGGCCTATGACATCTCCTGAAGTTTTAACAGGAACTGTCAAGTTCTGTACCTGGGCACGCTCACCCCGTATTTCTGTATGAGTTGGCACTGGTTGTGGGGGGCTTGTTGAGCCTGGCTGAGAGGAGGATCTTGGGGAGACCTGCTTCTGCTTGGAGCCCTAAAGATGACAAAGCCCAGCTCTTGCTTGGCAGTGGGCTGACAGACCAGGGACAGCAACCGGAGCTCCTGCTGGACCGCTGGGACGGGATGTGAGGAGGGGGCAGCAGGACCAGCTACCTGAGAGGCTGGGGCTCTCCATCCTCAGGGGCGGACTCGGTCCAGCACGGGCACTAGTCCTGCTTTGAGCAGGGAGCAGGTGACCTGCGGAGGTCCCTTCCAGGCAATGTTTTGTGATTTTGGTGTGCTATTGTGTGTTATGTGAGTGCACGTTTACTTTCTACTTTGCTATGAGAACAGCTGTTTGGTGGGCTTGGTAACTCCTGCTGTTCACACCAAAACGATTGAACTCCTGCTTATTCCATCCTCCCCCTTTTGTACAGCTGGATCACATCGAAGTAAAGTTTGCTTCTGAAGCAGAAGATAAAATAAAAGAAGACTGCTGTCCTGGAAAACCATTTTCCATATTTAGAACTGAGGTAAAATCAGAAATTCAGATATTGGAAGACTGAAAACATAATTTAAAAAAAAATCCAAAGAAAAGTAAATACAACATTTAAAAACTTTAATCAGACCTGAACATTGGATTTATTTTGCCTTTGACCCAACACCCCTCCAGAACAAGATACATTTCCTGAAGCAATTATAACCTTTTTCCTTCCTCTGTATAGAGCTCTGACTGTGGTTGTACCTTAGCTTGACACTCTTCCAGTCAGCAGAATTTAACAATTTGACATAAGACTGTTAAAAAACAAGTGACCTGAGCATTCACATACTCTTAGATTTGTTTCTTTCCGCCATATGCCTCAACTACTGCTCTTTAGATAAGGTAGGCTGTATTCTAGTTAAAACATAGGCCAAAAATAGAGAATTGAGAAGGTCTTGTGCAAGTATGGTGGAATCTCACTTTGCCACTGTTTAGACATTATGGTATTGCTTATTATATTAAGTAGTATAAATTTCCATGTGAAACTTTGTGTGACTTGGTTGCTGAATCCTAAAGTGTTTTTTAATACTTCGTGTCTTTATCTGTTGGTTTATAATGAGCTAATAAATTCCATAAATTTGCATAAAACAAAACCTTTCAAAAGTATCCCTAGAGGGTGTGTCATGGAGTCTTGGAAGAATTAGTGAGTAATGTGTAAGATTAGTGAAACTCTACAACAGTGATACCATGTATGAATATTTCTAGTTCTAGCACTTTTCAACAGTAAAAATTTCATTGATTTCCCTAAATATGTTCTAAAAACTCGTGCATACTCTAGCTTGTGTTTTATAGAGCTGGGGGAGTGCTTGCGTTCTGCCAGTGGCAGTCAGAGTTTCTAAATGAAGTTTATCCATCCAGAATATTTGTTGATTTGCTTGTTTTAATTTCACATTTCCTCAGAGGCTTGGATCTCAAATACAGATTCTCCTTTAACGTTTGTGTTGACTTTCTTACAGCCCAGTGTGTCTGTATTTTTGGTGAACCCTCAACCATCAAATGGCCACTTCTCTACAAAGATTGAAATCAGGCAAGGAGACAATAGCGAGACGGTGATCAGGCGCTTAATGAAGATGGACAAAGGAATCAAAGGTAAAATACTAGCACAGACTACAGCTATCGCATGCTGATTAGATTAACGTTTCCAGTAGAGGAGTGGAAACGGAAAGCTGCGGAATTTTGTGCTACTGTCTTAGGCGCTTAGAAAGGAGCGAGAAGTTTTGTGAGTTTGAGTGGACAAGAGAGATAATCCGCAAATCGGCAGGCTTTTCTGTGTGTTTTCCTCGTTAGTCTTTTGTTCTGCCAGTGGTACACTGAGACCTAGTTTCAGCCAGAGATTAATATGGATGATATTTTCCCTTCTGCTTTGAATTTCTAAGAAAAAGAGATAGTCCCGTAACTAGTAACAGGCAGCTTCTGCCACTTTGTTTTGGAGCCCAGAGTTGGGGAAAAAAAAAAAAAAAATTACCAAATTGATTTTCCTATTTAGCCTTAAGGTGAATTAATTTCTAGAAAAAGACTGAAGCTGACAATTTTTTTTCTAGTTTAGATCTCTGTGCTTTTTTTACCTGTAATAATACTCAACCTGTGGATATAAGTCATGGCAGAAATTCTTTTCATAGTGTGTCCTAGATGTGTCTGCATTGGTAAGAAGTTACTCATCAATAACAGTCGCTACGTTGGCTCCTTATAATTTCTGTCCCAGTTCATAGTGAAAAACTATCTGTTCAATTAAAATGGGAATTACAGAAGAATTGCTCTATAGCCCATCCATTACCATTGTTTACGCCAAACTGGAACTAGCAACCTCTGCGGGACATAGTTTAATACTCCTTTTGAATCCTCTGAGCTGCTTCTTCCCTCTCTGCTCCTGTATGCTGTACGTCAGCTCTTAAACCTTGACCTCTCAGTGGTAAGACACACAATAAGTATTGGAGGAATTTCTGTGAGAGCACTCCGTCCATGGGCAATAGTGGTCTCTAGTCCAAAAGCATGGAGACAAAAGCATTTCATCAGCTGTGAACTGGCCTTTGCGTGTAAGCTGTTGTAACTCTGCCTGTTCCATCCCCGGTGTTTGCTGGCTGCCAGAAGTGGGGCCCCGAGCGAGAGCGGCCCGGGAGCCAGCCCTTGCCATGGTCTGAACGCCATCGCCGCTCGCTTACCGGGAGTTGGTGCCTCGGCGGTGGTATGGCGATGGCTTGATACAGCTCCCCAGGCAGAGCCTGGGTGCCGCTTTTCCTACGGCATGGTTACGTGGAGCATGTCGAGTGCTGTGAAGTTGCTGGTGTACTGCGGTTTAGGAACCCAAATTCAGGTTCAGAGGGAAAACATCCATCTCTATGGAGGTTCCTTTTTTTAGCAAAAATCCCGATTGCTGCCAATAATTACTTTGCCTCCTCTTCCTGCTTTGCCTTCTAAATAGTTTTCTGTCTAGTAACTGCAGCGCTTCTCTGCTGCCACATGAGTTCTTGAGGTGATGTGCACGGACAAGACAGAAGAGGAGGGATGCTGTTTTTCATCTTTGTTGCTGACTCATCATGTGGCACTGAGAAAATCCTATCCTCTTTCTTGTTTTTTGCCTTGTTGCAGTTGGAATAAAAGCTGCCTCTTAGGAGTGCTGCTATGGTTAGTTTAAATGTTTGTGATATGTTGACAGGCTAAAGGGGGTCTTTGTAAGTAGCTGTATTTCAGGTGGGTGCTTTTCCTCAGTCTTGCTTGGAAATAAGCAATTTTTTTCTAGGCTACTTGCTGATAATTTTAGTATTCCTCGCTTCTCCACCTGCTTGGAAAGATATTTTAGGAAAACACAGAATAGCGTGATGCAATTCTGTCTTACATGAAATTTTAACAAGCATTAAGTTTCTGGCCAGTATAATGAAAGAAAATAGTTTTATTAAAGGAATAGCAGCTGTGTTTTTTGTCAAGGAATGCAGGAATTAAGAATCAAACAAATCTGAAGCACTGTGAACTGAATATAAAGGAAAACTGGACCTCATCCCAAAGCTTGTGACAGCAGAGTAATTTTTTCTTTCTGTATCTTTGAACAGCTTGTGCTTGTGTTAATGTTTGTCTGTAGAACAAAGACAGCTACATACTGAAGATGGTGCACACAGAGAGGAATATATGATAAAGTAGGTAGCAAAATACAGGCGAGGGAAATGCACTTCTACGTAGTAGATGTGTGTGCCTATCTACTGGCCTTCTGCTAGGTGGATGTTTTGAAATGATTGAAAACATGATTAAACAGCGACTCTCTCTCACTCTGTCTTTTCCAGAAGGTGTCACTGTCCTGTTGTACTTGGCTAGAAGGTTGTACTTGGAGGAAGGCTTGGCTCAAAGATCCCAGGCTTCTGAGGGATTTTTCTTGGTCTGCTTAGCAGTCCTTTATTAGTGTGCATTTTAGTAGGGAACTGTATTTAAAACAACTCTCACCTTCCCCTTTCTCCCAGGCTCTGAAATTAATTCCTCAGAAAATGATGTCATAACTCTTCAGTTACACCTAGCTGTCCCAAAGCCAGATAAGGCAAATCTAGTGCTTAGTGTGGTACCTGGAGCTGGTATTTCTGTGTGGCTTATCCCCATTTCTGCTGGTAACTTGCTGTGTAACCACCAAGTGACAGCTTTGTAGCAGCTGCGAATCTTAACGTGAACGTTATTCCCCAGAGAATGTATTTCCTTGGAGCAGCTACAGAAGTGCAGAGTATTAAGTGTGGCTTTGATTCAGTTGATAGGCAGCTCGTGTGCAGATCCCAAAGCCTGACGAGCCAGTCTCTTTACTGCAGATCTCTCCAAAGTGAAGCTGATGAGGTTTGATGATCCTGTCCTTGGGCCCCGCCGTGTTCCAGTCCTTGGCAAAGAAGCAGCAGAGAAAACACCGATTCTGGAGCAAGCCATCTTCCACATCGACCTGGACGAGAAACACGTTTGCATTACTGAGAATGGCCTGACAAAGGACATTGGTGACACAATTGTTTATCTAGTTCATTAAACTGGCGCATACCTGGCTTGACCCCTGGCAGTGAGAAAGTTCATAGAGTGATTTTGAAAGCATCTGTAATGAACAAAGATGAGAATTTGTTCTATTAAAAAAAAAAAAGCCCACCCAAACCAACCTAATTTTGCATGCAAGTTCACCCCTACTCTTTTGAATACGGATATAATAAAATTATTTTCCTCTGGCCCTTTGGCTTTTCTTGAAAAGAAACAGTTATCCTGAATGTTAACATGGCAAATCTTCCTCTTTGGCTGGGGCCAGTGTTTTCAGAAGCAAACTGGAGTACCATACTCGGAATTCCACTCCCTCCTAAATAGCCTAGGATCTGGGTAGAGAACTTGGTGGTAAATCTCCTGTAATAGAGGGGAAAAAGTTGTTTGCACGCTTCTGTAGTTTAGTTCTCAATGACCCAGGTGACAACACCATTAGGGCACTTTTGCACAGACTAGCAGTTCAGAAGTATTTCGATACTGATAACTCCTACTCCGAAGTAGGAGTTAACTGTAAAAGTTTTCGTGCCTCTTGGCTCTTAGCCCAGGAGCGCCTGTAGCAAACACTGTTAAAGACTGACTTCTCCTTTCTTACTCTTTCATAAAACTATTCATACATCGATTTTAAGTGGAAAGGTTAAGTGCTCTTTTCACAGATTTTAAATTGATGTTTTTTGGTAACTTCAGGCCTCTTGCAGACTGCTTTTTGCCTTTTTTGAGTCATGAATTGACAGGTACAGCTTCAGGACTTCTGTCTGCAAATTCATGAAGGTGGCTGGTGACAAACAGCATGCTTTGTTCTGCGCCATCGCTCTTGGGCACTTTCCCAATTCTTGATGCTCCATGTGGCTTAACATCTGAACTTCCTCTGATAACGCATTACGGCACGGGAGGGAAGAGCAGCACGAGAGCCCACAGCTGCCGTACCCAGAGCACCAAACGCTGCTGGCTGGATGTGCCGTTTTCTGCCCCTCCCTTTATTATCCCCTTGAAAAGGCAGGTTTGGTTTGTGTCCATACTGACGCAATATGAGCTTTGCTTTGCTATTGCTTCTCCCCAGTCCCGCTAAGCAAATACTCCTGCGGTTCTCTGAAAAGGTTTGCTTGTCAAGAGAAACAAGGCGATTCCATGGTCGGAGGCAGTCCCTGGGCGCTGGGATCGGCAGGTGGAAGGGCCGGGGAAGTGCTCCTGCTGCCGCAGGGCCTGGCCAGCCCCAGCCCTGATGGGTTGTTTCTGTCGCTGGAATGCCTGCAGTGGGCAGAGGTGTCTGCTGGTTCAGGTCAGCTTGTCCTGTGGTGCCCAGGACGGGTGGGCAGCCGGCGGAGCCTTGGTGGCAGTGCAGCCACGGGGAGGGGAGAGCCATGGCCGCGCTGGTCACGTCCCTTTGCTGCTGCACCTGGGACCTGGCTCTGCTCAGGGTTTACTTCTGCGTAGTCTGAGTGAATTCCCTTCCAAACTGGAAAAATAAGCCCCAGTGCACGCATCCAGAGCCACTTCTCATAGGGGGCTGCTTTCGTTGGGGGTTTGGAGCTCGTTTGCACAGTGTGACGGTGAGGTGCCTGTGCTAGTGCTGCTTGAGAACTCCCTTCTATCCAGCGCACGGCTGTTTCACACCCAGATGCCATCTCTGGATTTTGCGCTCTGTTAGCACAAAATCTCCGGATTTCATGCTCTGGTAACACGTTCTTCTATCTCTGGTAGGAGAACAAGGTAATTCAACGTTGCCATTGCGGTGCCTCCTGAGCGTCAGTTGTCGCAGGAGCCTGACCTGCACTCTGTGCTCGCTGGAGGAGGAACTGCAGTTCAGATCTCCTCCGTGTGGGGAGACTTTTGGACCCAGCTCTGGGGGTAAGTGTGTGAGCGCTGTGACAGCATGACACACTGCCTGGGTCAGCACCAGGAGAGGGGTTTAAAAACGTCTGACAAGATGCCAAGAGGCGATGTGCTCACACAAACAAGTCTTGGATATCGCTTGTTTGCCCGGCTCCCTTTGAGCAAATTTGGCTCGAAGGCTGCGAGCAGAAGTCTCTTACCAAAGATGAGAAAAAGAATTTGGGGTTTCCAAGCAGGCTGAAGTGGGTGTGAGATTTGTTCTGTTGTCTCCAGACAAGGAGGCTGACGCGTTGGATACGTGATGGCAGAGGCAATGTGTTGTGGAACTGGAACCCTGGTACTGCCCCTCGTCAGTGGGTGCTCTGCCCGCATCTGCGTTTTGATCACCAGTGCTCTACGAAGAGGAGCCGAGGGCTGGGCAAAGTGAGCTGATCAGAAAGGTTTCCTTAGGTGCTTGTACGAAAGCAGCCGTGTTAGTTCCAAGAAGCGGGGATTACGGCAATGAGAATCTAATATATTGACAAAGCAGCAGCAGCCAGATAATCTGAGCAGATAAAAATTAGTTCAGCATTTTAGAACACTAAATATTGCTTCCTTACTTTCCTAGACCATGGGTTTCTTCCCTTCAGCAGCTGTCCAGAGAGCAAAGACTCTCCCACGGATGTTTGGGAGCACTGCTCTGTAGGTGGGGGTCTGCACGTGCCGTCTCTGTTTTCTGCCGTGCTGGGCAAGTTAAACAGCGGTGGTGTTTCTTCGTCTCAGTAGTCATGTCACTCAGCCAAACTGATTGTTAGTGAGCAAAATAGAGCTAAAAAGCTGGATTTTTTTCCCCCCGCCCCATGATGGTTTGTTGGCTTCCAGGAGATGTCACTGCTACGCTGGTTCAGGTGCATTTTTTCCCCAACAAAAGCCAGTTAAAGGATAAAGAGCCCTTCTTGGGATTTGCTTTCCCACATTATTAACAAAATTCTGGCCATACTTACTAGTCTTCCTGTTATGATTTTGGTTAGAGAAGTCTGGAAAGGGAACCTGTTTTCTTTTTTACCTGAGCCAGTTTTTACAGTATATAAACGCCCAGCCACGAAGAACAGGGTTGATGCTGTTACTGCCTGGCTCTGCCGGTGCTCTGAGGGCTGGAAGATGTTTCCTTGGCTTTCAGCCCTTCGGTTTTCCTCTGTTCAGAAGAACGCACGGACACTTTTCTCCGACGTGTTGCCAGGCATAAGCAATGTTTCTTAAGAAGGAAGTTAAAACACTTGGCAAAGTTGAGAGGAACAGCAGGTGCCCCCAGCTGCGTGGCCTGATCCACGCCGGGCTGGACGGAGCCTGGTGCCGCGCAGCGATGTCGGCAGTGGGCACACCAGCTCGGGACGGAGAGCAGGCTTTCCCTCCCTGCAGATCTTTTCCAGAGCGAGAAGAGCACATCTCCATCGTGGTGCTCGGCTGCCCGTCTCGGCACGTCCAAGAGCAGCGTCAGGTTTGGATCCAGTTGTCTCCCACACGCGTCCAGCCGGGAGTCGTCCCCGTCGCGGAGGCGGCAGTGAGGGGTGACCAAGGCACCCTGAGACCCGTTTCTTCCCCGCGCCTGTTCTGCGGGTACTTGATGAGTTTGTCTTGTTTTAAAAACAAAGCGCACAACCCCTGGTGAGTTAAATCTCCCCGGGCAGCAGCGCAGCGCTGGGCCTACGTTTTACCCACCAGCGGGGTTTGGGTTTGGCGTGTTCTGGCAAGGAAATCTTGCAGTGAGGAGCGTGCTCTGGGCTGCCTTGCAGGCCTGCTAAAGCTGCGCTTAACTTCTCGTCCGCTGGATTTGGCTCTGTTCTTCAAACCTGGTTCAACTGAACGCTTTCGCTCGAGAGCCTCCCGCTCCCTGGGCGGTGGGAAGGGTATGATGTCAGGGCGGGGGGGTGTGGTGATGTCACCTGTTCTGTGCGTGGGGCTGCTCCCATTTCCCCGCCTGGCTGGAAGTCATCGCTCGGCTGACGGATGTCTGAGGTCCATCACTGTTTGTTCTTTCCGGGGTCATGCCTGGGGACAGGATTTCGGGATTTCTTTTCTTTCTGGTCTTGAGTAAGGAGTAAAGTTGGGAGCCCCGTCCTTGAATAACATTATAAATAATCTGGTATACATAAAAAAATAAATCTATATAGAAACTGTGTAGCTGATGGGAAATGAATGCTCACTGTTGCATATTGCACTGTAAAATATCTCTGTGGTGAGGCTTGGATAGGGCTCCTCTTACTCAGGAATTCAGTTCAAAGCAGTTTATTAATCCCTCCAGGCTTTGCTGGCAGAAGAGAGAATTATTGACTCTGTGGCACCAGCAAAGTATCCAGAATCTATATTTTGTTTAAAGCAGAAACAGTTATTCTTCAACACTGCCTTATTGTGTCAGAAGGATTGGGTGACCTTTGGTGAATTATTTTCCGCTGAAGCGGGGAGCAGCAGCAATCATCGTGCACAAGCTGGAGATGCACATGGGCTGCTGAGCCGGGGAGAGCTGCTGGTGAGGTTGGTCCAGAATCGTCTTTTTAGTACCCGTACGTACCTTCGAGGATCCCCATTCGTATCGCTCGGTTCTTGGACCGCCTCTGTGGCGGGGGCAATTCGTATCTCTGGTTTCTGGGCCCGCCTCTGTGGCGGTGGTAGTCCCTGGCACTGTTGCAGAGCTGGGCTGCTGGCTCCATCCGGTCAACGTGACAGGAAAAGAGAGGACGACGTCCTGAGCCTCCCGTCCCCTGCGGCCCCCGCTGCCCCCCATCCTTAACACGGGCTGCGCTGCCTCCTGGGGCTCAGAGACACCACCAGCACCCGACCAAAACCTTCCACCCTGGAAAAACCAGTATCGGCCCTCGAAGCCTCCTCCAGTGAAATCCTAACCGGTGCTTTACGTTACCAGAAGGGCTGGAGAGCCGGAGATCTGACCACACGCGGCTTTTGCTGTACGAGAGGTAGGTCGTGGTGATACTGCTGCGGGATGCTGAGGTCCTTATGGGCATGGTACCTTGCTCTGGAAGCACTTGTACCTTCACGTGGACATGTAGGGCGGTGGAGATTGGTGTGGAGCTCAGCGGCAAGGAGACACAGGAGCAAGTGAATCCTTGGAAGGGAGCTGGTATGAACCAAAGCAAAATGGCAGCACTAATCCCATGAATCTTTCCTCCTCCAGAAGGTCACTCCAAATACGTTGTGTGCACGTGATTAAGAACAGACAGGATCTTTCAATTTTGTGTGTCCTTGTTCCTTTCTCCAATGCACAGCAGAGCGCCAGGGGAGCCTGCGA